GTTATTGGTCACCTCCCTGACCAAGGCCTTTCTCCCCAGATTGCTCAGTTTGGCCGAGCGGCCAGCTCTAGGAAGAGTCTTGGTGGTTCCAAACTTCTTCTATTTAAGAATGATGGAGGCCACTTTGTTCTTGGGGACCTTCAATGCTGCAGACATTTTTTGGTACCCGTCCCCAGATCTGTGCCTAGACACAATCCTGTCTCGGAGCTCTACGGACAATTCCTTCAACCTCATGGCTTGGTTTTTGCTCTGACATGCACTGTCAACTGTGGGACCTGATAGAGACATGTGTGTGCCTTTCCAAATCATGTCCAATCAATTGAATTTACCAGAAGTGGACTCCAATCAAGTTGTAGAAACATCTGAAGGATGATCAATGGAAACAGGATGCACCTGAGCTCAATTTCGAGTCTCATAGCAAAGGGTCTGAATACTTATGTAAATAAGGTATTTCTGGTTTTAATCTTTCATAAATTAGCTAAAAAATCTAAATCGCTTTGTCATTATGGGGTATTGTGTGTAGATTGCTGAGGAAAATGTTTTATTTAATCTATTTTAGAATAAGGCTGTAACGTAACAAAATGTGGAAAAAGTCAAAGGGTCTGAATGCTTTCTGAAGACACTGTACTTCCATAAATGTTTTCAACTGGTACCGGGGGACCTTCAGACGAGTCTTGTGAGGCCTGTGGGCACTAGACTAAACAGTTCGGACGCTACAGACTGAAGTTGGCAGATCGGCTGTACCGACTTCAGACGAGTCACAAGACACTGGTAGAGCAAAACGAAGAACACCATCGTGAGAGTCTCTAGCTCTATCACCTTTCACCGCGGATGCGAAAGTGCGACATCGGAGGATGCGGTGGATTGAGATGCATCCAATGCAAAAAAAGATATATCTAGCTTAAATTGATGGATTTGTATGGGGATTTTTTAGATTTCAAGAATGGACCATAAAGGAAATCACACTACAAACTATCACCCCTATGCATTTAAGGAAATCACAAATATTGTGAATATATTGGAACTAGTTGATATATGAAGGCTTAAATATCATGACCTAGTGAGCTATACATGGCGGAGGCTCAATCAAGCTAATTGTCTTGACTACTTTCTTATGTCATTCTCGCTAGCACCAAAAATATGAAAAGTGTTGATAGGGGACAGAATATGGTTGGACCATCAACTAATTGGCATACACATTACTCTTACAGAATTTCCATGTGGGCGAGGATATTGGAATGTAATCAAAGCCTACTGGATGACAATTGTTTTTGAACAAGACAGTAGAATTTATAATCAACTTTTTCCTACATAACATAGGTACAGCATATCCCCTTATTGTCTGGGACACTTTAAAATGTGCCTTTAGAGGTCATGCAATTAAATACTCATCTTTAAAACAAAAACATTTTAGGTCAAAAGAGTTCATATTAACAAAGGAAATTGAGGAACTAACAGTATAGATAGAGAGCAATAAAAACTGTACCATGGAGGCACATAATAAGAGCAGTACGTGCCTGCTCTTGTCCGTGACCGTCTGATCTACTGGGCACACACGTCCCCCTCCTCTGGTCACCCAGGTATTGGTCGTACAGTGCGCTGCCTGACCGGAAAGTACTGGTGGCCTACCTTGGCTAAGGATGTGAGGGTGTATGTCTCCTCCTGCTCGGTGTGCGCCCAGAGTAAGGCACCTAGGCACCTCCCAGCAGGTAAGTTACAGCCTTTACAAGTTCCACAACGGCCATGGTCTCACCTAAGTATTGATTTCCTGACTGATGTTCCCCTCTCTCAAGGTAACACCACCATCCTGGTCGTAGTGGACCGCTTTTCCAAGGCCTGCCGCCTCCTTCCTCTGCCCGGTCTCCCCACGGCCCTGCAGACTGTGGAGGCCCTGTTTACACACGTCTTCCAGCACTACAGGGTACCAGAGGACATAGTGTCTGACCGGGGTCCCCAGTTCACATCCAAGGTCTGGAAGGCGTTCATGGAACGTCTGGGGGTCTCGGTCAGCCTGACCTCTGGTTTCCACCCTGAGTCTAATGAGCAGGTGGAACGGGTGAATCAGGATGTGGGTAGGTTCCTGCGGTCCTACTGCCAGGACCGGCCGGGGGAGTGGTCGGTGTTCTTGTCATGGGCCGAATATGCCCAGAATTCTCTCTGTCACTCCTCCACTAACCTAATGCCATTCCAATGTGTTTTAGGTTACCAACCGGTTCTGGCACCGTGGCACCAGAGCCAGACCGAGGCTCCTGCGGTGGATGACTGGTTTCAGAGGAGACGTGGAACGCTGCTCACGTTCACCTCCAACGCGCCGTGCGTCGTCAGAAGGCCAACGCTGACCACCACCGCAGTGAGGCCCCGGTCTTCGTACCGGATGATTGGGTCTGGCTCTCGACCCGGAATCTGCCCCTCCGCCTGCCCTGCCGGAAGCTGAGCCCGCGGTTTGTGCGGCCGTGCAAAGTCCTGAGGAGGATCAACGAGGTTACTTATAAGTTATTACTTCCCCATGATTATTGTATTAACCCCTCGTTTCATGTGTCTCTCCTCAGGCCAGTGGTGGCTGGTCCGCTCCAGGAGTCTGTGGTGCGGGAGGTCCCTCCGCCTCCTCTGGACATCGAGGGGCCCCGGCTTGCTCCGTCCGTTCCCTCCTGGATTCGAGGCATCGGGTGGGGGGCCTTCAGTACCTCGTGGAGTGGGAGGGGTACGGTCTGGAGGAATGGTGCTGGGTCCCGGTGAGGGATATCCTCGATCCCTCCCTGTTGCGGGATTTCCACCGTCGTCATTCGGCTCGCCCTGCTCCGCGTCTTACTGGCCGTCCCCGAGGCCGGTGTCGGCGCGCTGCTGGAGCTGCGCATCAAGGGGGGGATACTGTCACGACTTCCTCTGAAGCTGCCTCCTCTCCTTGTTCGGGCAGGCTTCGGCGTTCATTGTCACCGGCCTTCTAGCCACTGCTGCATCACATCTCATCATTCCATTTGTTTTGTCTTGTTTATTACACACACCTGGTTCATATCCACTCATCAGTATGTGTATAAGTGTTCCCTCTGCCCCCTTGTCCTTGTGGGTGATTGTTTAATATGAGGAGAGAGTAGCTCGGTTGAGCTATGTGTATTTTGTATTGCCGGAGTATATTTTCCCCGTTTGCCTGTTTTTGTTCCAGTGCGCCTGTTTTGCGCACTGGACTGTTTGACGCTATCCTGCGTAACTCTGTATTCCGGAATAAACTCTGTATTCTGTGATTTACCCTCCTGCGCCTGACTCCTTCAAATCACCCATCACACATGTGAAGGCTAGATTACAGATGAGGAACTTCTCGGTGCAATTAAAGCTTTTAAGGCCGGGAATAATCCAGGGCTGGATAGCATACCAGTTGAGGTACACTACCGGTTAAAAGTTTTAGAACACCTACTAATTCAAGGGTTTTTCTTTATTTTTACTATTTTCTACATTGTAGAATAATAGTGAAGACTTCAATACTATGAAATAACACATATGGAATCATGTAGTAACCAAAAAAGTGTTAAACGTATCAAAATATATTTAATATTTGAGATTCTTCAAATAGCCACCCTTTGCCTTGATGAAGGCTTTGCATACTCTTGGCATTCTCTCAGCCAGCTTCACCTGGAATGCTTTTCCAACAGTCTTGAAGGAGTTCCACATATGCTGATAACTTTTTGGCTGCTTTTCCTTCACTCGGTCTGACTCATCCCAAACCATCTCAATTTGGTTGAGGTCGGGGGATTTTGGAGGCAAGGTCATCTGATGCAGCACTCCATCACTCTCCTTCTTGGTCAAATAGCCCTTACACAGCCTGGAGGTGTGTTGGGTCATTGCCGTTACATTTCAGTGTTGTGATGCCAAAATTCTAGCAAAATGCATAGCGCATAGAATTAAAAAGGTATTGTCTGATGTTATTAATCCTAATCAGACAGGGATAAATACCATGTTTCAACAAAGGACGGAGAGAATAATCATTTTTAGATTGGGTTAGTTGTTCTCCGGATTTCTGCAGAAATCTGTAAATTGACGCTGGAACCTTTGATATAATAAACCTTTTTAATCAAGTACAGTGTCAAGCGGATTTCTTGTCTACACAGCATATCAGCATCGTTGTCTCGACACCACATTAATTGTCGACGAGGATTTGGGACGTGTTGCGTCTTTTCTCAGCGTTTCATCATGGGCCGCGAGCTGACTCCCGCTACAGAGGCCGGCAGATAAGGTGAGCTTTCTCACAACTTTGGGCGCTGGTCAGTTCGTCTGGCTGTGTGTGTGCGTTGAGGGGATGTACCGTCAAAGAACTTGTGTGTGCCCCTTGCTGTTATTTGCTGTGGGATGACAATACGTTCTAAATTTCTAAATTTGTTTGCGTTGAAAACAACGCAAACAGGGGGGAGTGTCTATAGGAATTGATAACACTGGGCACAGGGATATTTGGCTTGAATAAATTTAAAGGAGTGTCCAGGAATAGAATGAAGGAATAAGACAAGGAAATAAGGAAAAAAGTATACTGTTAGGACGTCACTGATCTACGGAAGCCCTCAAACGAGGTGATTATTAAGATGGGCCGTTTAAAATCCTAGGGAAAATTGGGT